CACGCTCAACGAAACAGGCAAAAGTTGTACATGTATAAGGTTGTACTTTCTGTGATTTTATACGAAATTCGTATAGACTTTTCATATAATAAAATCGTCTCGGTCAATATGTCATCTGCCGGTGAATATCACATCATATTCAATGGCACACTAGTCAATAATTGTAAATATAAAAGAGTGAACATATAAAAGAATACAAGTTGTTTTTAACAAGCCCTCTTTTGAAGCAAAATCTCGACTAGTTTACGTCATATCTTATCTAATCATTATATCATCATATCATATCATGTCATATCATTATATCATATCATATTTATTTATTTATTTATGATTATATATTCTTCTTCATATAGTTTACATACATAAAGATATAACTAATTATGCCAAAATAGGACAAAAATAAAGTATAATGATTATATATAACACATTTATTTTTGTGCATCGCAATCATATCACTACTAATACACAGTCAGCATAAATATTATAATACATATATGACTATCCATTTTTTCTTAGAAGTATTGTATATATCTACAAATTCCAATTCTATGTCATTTTGTTATGTGCATTGTATGTAATTGTTATTTTCACTATAATAGCAACAAAGTTTGTATCGAATACACATGTTCATATTAAGTTTTTGGCGACAGAGGTAATTTTGAAATGATGAGAACTCAAAATGTGAAATCCTCTTCACATGAAAAGATGGGATTCGAACTCTAAGTGGTTAGGGGCGAATGGCTTGAAATCAATGACCTTAACCACTTGGTCATGAATCCAACAGTGTAACAGAAAGATATATATGAATAGGTAGTAATAAAAGTGTAAAAATAATGGTGAGAAAAATGGCATCCGGGCTTGAAGTCATAAAACAATATTTTTTTAATTTTGTTTCGAATCTCAAAATTTTCTTTGGTCAATATACATTCTGTACTGGTTTTTGGCCTGCCGCATACCTCAGTTCTGATTTGTGCTTTGAGCAATCAATTTTTCTTCATTCATTGAGGCAATGATTTGTTCTCAAGAAAACATTACAAATTGTGGCGACAAAATATTTTAACAATACGTCTTCGAAACTTTTTGTTCAGCAATGTATATATGATCGGGTTTGAGAATCCATTTATCAGATACGTCATTCTTCCAAACATCATGAACTTTACAACATTCAAGTTGGATGTCATACTAGGAAAAGACGCAAGGACAAAGCTTAGCCATGGTGGTATCCAAGACAAAATGAATACAGAACACACTAAAAACGAAATTTTTGTTGTTCTCAAACTTGCTGAATTATGTAGTTGTGATTGCTTGTCGGTTTTTGCTGAAATATGCTGATTTTTGTTATAGGTCTTATCTGCAAACTGACCGGAAACGGTTGTAACTTGCCCTTGAAGATTTGCGGCAGTCGTGTCTTTTGGCCTTGTTACATTGAGATGGTCTTTGTCGTTTTCTGTGTGTGCAATACTTGATGATTGTTCACATGTTGTATTTACAACAGTGTCTTTAAAAAGCCCGCTACGAGACATGTTGGATGTAGATTGTGCCGGTACGACTCTGTTGTTAGAGGAAAAACAGCAGCAGAAGGTACTGTATCCGTTTTCTGTGTTTCTGTTCATAGTATGTCTTGCAATATTTGACTCACTAAATACAACTGCTTTGGTAACTTTCCAGTAGGAAAACACGACAACAATTGTAGCAAATACAAATATCATGAAAACAAAGAAATAGTATGAGAACAGTGTTGAATTCATGACAATTGATACACACCGGCCAGCTCGATTTTCATACATAACATAGGAAGGTATTGACAAAAGTGTTGTTGACGCAGTTATGAGAAAACAAGCGTTGCGCGCGCGCGTTGTTGTAAAGGATGAGAGACGTCTGCAAATCTTCAAGTACCTGTCCAAAGCTAGTCCACAAATCAAGAAGGCAGAGGATAGCACAATAGACTGACTTAAAAACATATGAAGTCGACATATCAGAGTTGTTCCATAGACTCGCCAGTATCCGTTGGTGAATGTAGCATAGACTGGAATATTTACAGCCGAAGAGATGAAATCACAGATGGTTATAGCCAGTATGAACCAGTCGGTCGTGTTTGACGGGCGGTTACAGAGGAATACGGCTAGCACAATCAGGTTACCGAGCACACCAAGAGTGATCATGAGGTATAAATAAATGTTGTATGCTGTAAAGAAGTCGGGTCCGATCGGCGACGGCGTATAGAAGAACGTGCCATTCTTTGAATCATTTAAATTACCTTGTAAGCCGGCGATGCTACTTGTGTTGTCCATATCTGTTGATAACAAAGGAAATTTTAAGCATCTATATTTAGTAAACCCCTAATACTATCTTACATTGAATAAATATGTCTTATTAAAGTTACAGTCTCACTTACATCCCGGCAGAGCCCCGGTAGACGTCCGGGGTGATCCGGGAACGACCGGGTACGACCGGGAACAACCGGGTACATCTGTAACCCTGCCGGCAACGTCCGGGATGATCCGGGAACATCCGGCATTCCACCCCGGATGGAATAAAATATTGGATATTACCGGGGTGGTCCGGGATGATCCGGGAAGGTATAGCTTTGCCGGCTTCATCCTTAGCTCTGCCGGGAACGACCGGGGTTATACCGGGGGAAGCACCGTAGCTCTGCCGGCACAAACCGGGGATGATCCGGGGTATGATATAGCCGGTAGAGCTACGGTAGGGCTACGGTAGAGCCCCGGTATATGCCGGCAGCGCCCCGGTAACTACAGCAGAGCCCGGATGATAAAGGTAGAGCTACGGTTGATCCCAGTAGAGCCCCGGCAAAGCCCGGATCATTTCAAAAGTATAACGACAATTTGCGATAATTGCACTTGTTTGTTTTAAAACCCTTCCCAATTCCCTTCTAACCAATATGGCATAAGGATTTTTCAGAAAATCATCATGAATTACTATTCTGGAACAATAGATATTATATTAAATAAATCATGTATCAATGTTATCATTTTCGGGCGTTTTCAATCAACCGGGTTCTGCCGGGGCTCTGTCTGGATCTTCCTGGTCTCTGCCTGGATCGATCGGGGCTCTGCCTGGGTCAACCGGGGCTCTTCCGGCGTCATCCAGGAACGACCGGGGAAGCACCGGCATGAACCGTAGCTTCACCTGGGCTCCGTCTGGATGATCCGGAGCGCATCATTGGTGGTTAGTTGGGAACTACCGTAGTGCTGCCGGGGTAAGTGTGACCGCAACACTAATTTCACCCCGGATCGTCCCGGATCATCCCGATAACTTATCGGGATTGTCCTAGGCTCTGCCGGGAGTAAGTGAGACCGAGGCTTAAAAGAAACTTAAAGTACTATAAATGATATTATATAATTATGCAATTACACAAATATTGTTATATTTGAAGTGGATCGGTCTACGAGTACAATGGACACATTTTCAAAAGTATTTCAAATATTGATAAAACAAAAAAATTATACCATTTAGAGGGTTTTTTATTAAAATATTACGTGAAAAAAAAGCATGTTGATGAAGTTCTGATTGATTTAGTGTTAACATTTATCAAATACCCGTATCTCTTTTACGACAGCGAAAAGACGCGGTAAATTTTGACGAGTAAAAAGTATCTATCTATCTATCTTTTTCTTTTTCACCGGATTTTTTTAAAATATGTGATAAAATGAATATTATATTCGTGCAGCTTCATCATTAAATTTATTGAACTTGTTGAATAAAATAATATTATTCTTGCTAGAGGCTCGCATAATATAATTTTATTCAACTCGTTCAAAGAATTCAAGTGTTGAAAATAGCTTTAATTTATATGACGAATAACATTAGTTGTTCTAGAACAATTTATTCTCCTCCATATTAATATGTCATATCATCAGCTCATGTTTCTCACACTTTTAGTTTTCTTTGATACTTAGTTAACATAATATTTTTTTTTAAAAAGCTTTATCCTTATTCTGTACACAGTAAATTCTGATTATTACTAGATCATAACATAAACATGCCTAAGATGTTTGTTTGTTTGTTTGTTTATTTAATTATTTATTTATTTATTTATTTATTTATTTATTTATTTATTTATTTATTTATTTATCTATTTATTTATTTATTTATTTATACAGTCTGAAAAAAAATTAAAAAGTATTGTTTTCCTTTTCTTTGATATTTAAATGAAAATAATGCAAATGAATTTGTCTGAAAAAATCATGGAGTAGGTAAAAATTCATACAAATATTATAATAAGCATTTGATCTAAAACTAAAGCAAAGCCAGTTAAAGTGAATAAAGCTATATATCTCATGCTTAATTTATTGAATGTTTGAATTTTGAAAAAAAGTATACTTCCAGACTGCTTGTATGATATAAATATGATAATTTATTGCCATTAAAGCGAATAGTCATGCAAAAATCATTGCTAAACGGATAAAACTGTACTTAAAATAACAAAATAATATTTTGTTTCGGAACATTTTATTCTGTTAACGTACATTATTCATGTGTATTAAATAACAGAGATATTCTATGTTACAACATTTTCGGGAATCAACCATATACATTGTAGTAATAGAACCAATATAATTTTACTGTTGATAAATGTTATTAAAATATTTCATAAGAAATACCCTTAAACTTTTTACATTGGAACCAGGAAACAATTTGGTAGTATTTGCATACATTTTAACCAGGAATCTTGTTGATAAGATCTTATTCAAAATAAAGCTTTTAAATAAAACAAATACAAACATTTTATACTGAAGTAATATAGTTCAAAAATAGAATACAGAACGTGTTCAATGTAATATCTTTAAAGTAATGTTTGTAATTTACCAAAACATGGAAACTGAAATAAGAAATGAACATACATCTCTGACCCCCCCCCCCCCCCTCCAATAAATTTAGAATTATATGAGAATAACTGAAAATTATTCCTATACCTATATTATAACAACAATCCACGATCTTTTCCAGAAATAGATAGATACTCCGTAGTTGAACTAGAATTCAAAAGTCGTCAAGAATTGGCGTGTTTTATAGTACTTGTGACAGTTCAGACTAGCACCATAACGCACTCTGCTTTGTCTATTGGATAAACAGTCAATACCATAAATGCTTCATTACCCGGTGTCGTGTAATAATCACACGGGCGTAACTAGACGGTTTATACATGTCTGCGACTTTGATTACTCACAAAACGCTTTTATAAGTAATAGAAAAAGCATCGAAACGCGGTGCTATCTGATTTGTACGAGGGAACGTAGCCCCCGAGTATAAATCAGATTACCGAGTGTTTTGATGTTCTTTCTTTTTTGTATCATAGTCAAACCCTGATACCACAATATGAAACCCCACAAAAAATAACCAATGAACGAGCATCTATCCCTTTCTCTGTCGTCACAATATGTAAACCCCGGACAAAATGAACCAATCAATGGGCATGTCCTGCAGTGCGGGTAACTAATACCAGCACTCCAGTTAGCGCACTGTGCATGTACATGTACGTGTATACGATTTAACTCTCACACATTTTCAACAGAAAGGTCCCCAAACTATGATACAATTGGTATAAATCTTCACCGTGTACTTATTTAAATATTCTAATTTTAAATATTTTACGGATAATTTCTATATATAATTTAATTTTATTATGATCACAAAATGATTTCTATAAAGTTTCAAATTTATATTTCAGTTAAAATAAATAAATAAATAAATATTAAATAAATAAATAAATGGATATTATCCATTGAACCATTGATTAATTAAACTATTAATAAATTAAACCATTAATTAAATAATTAATTAATTAAAACATTAATTAATTAAAACATTAATTAATTAATTAATTAAAACATTAATTAAAACATTAATTAATTAATTAATTAATTAATTAATGGCATATCTTAATTTGCTTAATTATTTATCTATTAATTAATAAATTAAAAATTATTAGATAAATAATTTAGCAAATAAAGATATACCATCGTATTCAAACAAATATTACAATATTATTAACTGTGGCCTTCTAAACAATAATAGTATTATATAAAAACCCATACACAAAAACAACATCATTAAACAATAACATACGGTGGCATGGAGGTGACATTTGCAGTTTTATTTTATCTGGTGGCCACGACTTATTATCTTGAGGCCTCAAGATATAATTTCGTGGCCACGACTTACTATCTCTGGCCACGAGGTATTATCTTGTGGCCACGAATTATTATCTTGTGGCCACGACTTATTTCAGCCAATGAAAATGGTCGTTTCATCTATAACAAAAGTTACTGATATTAACTTTCACAGGAGAGGCGGATCGAACGCACCACTGTAGATTTACATCAGTAATTTCCTACGCATTTACCCAGAGACGTGCTGAATTTCAGTAAGGGCTTATCAGTTAGTATATCACTATAAACTGTATATATCCCCAGTAAAGGCCCCAACAGACGGTAGGATTTTGAAGTACAACACCAATTAAAACTAAGATGTACAGACAAATCTTAATGTGTGAAGGCTACTATTTCTTGATTTTGGAAACCTTATGTCTAGATGTAAGGGATAGGACATGCTCTATTTTGAAAATCTTGTCGTACTGATTTTTACAGACCTCCCACAATGACAAGTAACAGATAACCAAATTATCTCCTGATAATGGGTGAAATTCTAGAACAATTAGGGCTAAAAGGTAAACATAGTAGTAAGATGGGGTAAAAATGATGTTGAAAAACCAAGTTGTGTTATGTTCGAATCCCAAATTATTCCGAAAATGATTATGTCACGGTATTGAATTGTTCTCTAATTAGGGGAGGGGAGGTAGTTTGTAGGCGGCCAGATAGCTTAGTCAGTAGAGCCGCAGTACGGTATTCCGAGGGTCCCAGGTTTGAGTCTCGGTCAGGCTTCACATTAAAAAAATATATATATTTTTTTTTAAATGGAGGTGTTTCAATCATTACTCATGGCGAAAAAAGTATTTAGTGAGTAAAGTATGTAAAGGATCAATGTAAAGGGATCCTTTTTAGGGGAAACCTCAGATGATTCTTACAGTGTAGAATTACCGTCTGAATGCAAGTGTTGTATTGCTTTGAAAATTGTACATCTTATCTCTAATTAGTGCTGTACAACTAAATCCTACCGTCTGTTGAGGCCTTAACACATCGACTGATTACAGTCTTGTCATTACTAATTGGCCCTCTGTATTCTTATCTAATGGTCATAACGTTGAAGGGATGCAGTTTTTCATAAAATACACTCACTTTTATAACTGATAATCTCCGGTGGGAAGTTA